GGGATCCGAACCCTCGGACGGGAGCGCCGCCGCGCTTCCCAAGCGGCGCACTATCCAGTGCGCCACCGGGCCGGCCCTTGTTTTTCTTTATAAATATAGAACAACTTAATTCTGTGTGTGTTAAAAAATATCAGTGAACTTTAGGATTGGATCAATTATGGCACTTGTAATGTACTACCAGTTTCCTTATTAAAAGATGAAAGCTTCTAGGCTGAGTTAACATAAAAATCCTGTTTGTACTCTGTTTAAAGCAAGTCATAAAAATATTGAGAAGAACAAAGATACATACTGCATTGGTTGACAAAGGCAAAGAGTAGCACCTAATATTAGACAAGATGGAATTTGAGGAGGGTGGGGAATGGTTCAATGAGACAAGAATGTTAATTTATATTGATAAAACCTAATGTCAGTTAAATGGATTTGATGACCATGAACCTTTTTGCACCAAACATTTAGCAGTGAAATATTTAAGGCAAAAGCTGTTAACTAAGCCTATAAAGAATTTGAATAATGCAGCATGATTTTATATCTACAGATACAAACACAATACATATTCTACGCAGATGCCTATGGGATATTAATAGAATTAATTTCATAAAGAAAACCTAACAGATTTCAAAAAGAAATTATATTGATTAGATTTTCTGACTGAAACTCAATAGAGTAATATAACTGTTGGGTTAAAGAGGAAATCAGAATTGAGATTACAGACTATTTAGAAATACATAACAATGAAAACAGTTCCTATCAGATCCTGAGGGATATGGACATTGTATTATGCAGAGACAAACATATATTTATTAGTAATTAAGGAAGAATAAAAATAAATGAACTAAGTATTTAGTTTAGGAAGCCAGAAAAATGAAATTGATGAACATAGTAAAGAAAGTTAAAAGAAGTATGATAAATAAAACCAAATAGTTCTTTGAAAAATTATTGGCTTTAAAAGTATTGGCTTTTCGGGCCGGCCTGGTGGCGCACTTGGTGTTCTTTGAAAAATTATTGGCTTTAAAAGTATTGGCTTTTCGGGCCGGCCTGGTGGCGCACTCGGTAGTGCGGTGCTTGGGAGCGTGGCGGCGCTCCTGCCGAGGGTTCGGGTCCCATATAGAGACCGGTCCGCTCACTGGTTGAGCGCGGTGCGGGCGCGACACCGAGGGTTGCGATCCCGTTGCCGGTCGCGGTATAGGCGCGACACTGAGGGTTGCGATCCTGTTACCAGTCACAAAAAAAGACAAAAAGGGGAATGATAATTAAAATGGTGGTAGTGGCACAGGATAGACGGACCAGTGGAACAAAGTACAACATTTCTCCATCTGTTTTTATTTTTATTTTTATTTTTTTATTAGCATATTCATTATTACAAATCGTACTTATTTTTTTTTTTGACCAGTAAGGGGATCACAACCCTTGGCACAGTGTTGTCCACACCACACTCAGCCAGTAAGCACACCAGCCATCCCCATATAGGATCTGAACCCACGGCCTCGGCGCTACCAGTGCCGCACTCTCCTGAGCGAGCCACGGGGCCGGCCCAAATCATACTTATTCTTTATGCCCCATATCCTATCTCTTCCCCTGCCCCTTTTCCCTCCCCCCTCTAATAACCATAGATTTGTTCTCTCCATCTGATAGATTAACTGTTCCTCTGTTGGTTTGTTGCCTAGATGATCTGTCCAGTACTGAGACAGTCCTCCCCGATTACTGTAAATCAGATGCTTCTTCTGTTACTCTGGAGTGTGCTTTGTGTAGAAAGAGGGCCTCTTCTTTTTTTTTGGTCTCTGGTGGTGCTTCTCCTTGTGTTAGTGAAGTTGAGAGTCTGTTGTGCCCTCTGCACGGTAGCTGTGACGGCAGCTATAAAGACTATCCGCTTTTGCGGCAACTGTGGCAATAATGGTGACTATGGAGGGCTACCCATGTGAAAATGGTGTTTTTGGTGTGATCTTTACCTGGTTGTAGTTGGGTTTGGCTTCCCTGGCCCTATGCTTCAGGGATATTTTATGAATTCTAAGACACATTGTTTCAAAGTTTAACATCTTTGACAACAGAATGCACTTTACAATTAATGTAAACTATGATGCGTGTCGTATAGTATGACAGCTTTTTTTTTCTTTATGGTATATAAAATACATAATGGAGCATCTTCAAATCTGTGACACATTAGAGTCAATGAAATCAAATATATCTATATATGTATATATTCTTATATGTGTGCCTGTGTGTATTAGTCCATTTCTGTTGCTTATAACAAAAGACATGGAACTGGGTGATTTATAAGAAAATGAAATGTATTCCTTATGGTGTCTGAGGCTGGGATGTCCAAAGTCCAGGGAACACATCTGGTGAGGGTTTTCTTTGGTGGTGGCTTTATAGTGATGCAGGGGTCTCACATTGCTTAAATGGTGTAGCAGAGAGAGAGACTAATCTCCTCATTCACTCTCCTTTTAAAGCCCTTTAATCCACACCCATGACCACCATTTTTAATCCATTCACTACAACCCGGTCCTACAATCTCATCACCTCTTCAAGGCCCCACCTTTCAATTACCATAATAGGATTTCCCACCCTCAACAGTTACAGTGGGAATTAAGTTTGGGGGGATATTCAACCCAAGACACTATGTATACACATACATAATGAAATCAACCGTGATGTGAGACCCAACTCAGACATCTCTCCAAGCTTGGCAGTAGGGTCTTGTCTGCAACCAAGATGTTTGTCTTTCATGTCACTTTCTAACAGATTACATTAACAATACAGTGAATGGATTGCATAAGTAAAGGTACAAATATTGGAAAATATGCAGGATTTCATGAAGTCTATGAAAATGACGTTGGAAAAGTATTTAAATCATTCATAAGCCATTGGCAAATACTAGTCTGGTTTTATCTTTCAAGCTGAATACCCAAGCAAGACTTTTTTCATTATTTATTATGAAATTTTGGTCTTTAAGTGTATTCATTTGAAGTGGCCTATGTCTAATGCTAATTATCCTCAGACAAAAAAGACCCTCTACAGATGATATAAAGTAGTACTTCAGTGAAAAAGGATGTACTACTATTCAAAAAACTGTAGAAGGATAACGACTCTGCCCGAAAAAATAATATTTGTATTTCTGCCTCACAAACATAAACTCTAGTTAGATTAAATACCCAAACATGAAAACAAATAAAAATTGCAGAAGAATATATAGGAACATAGTTTTGGAGAGCCCAAGCCTTACAGTATGCTTTCTCAGTGAAGGCAAGGATTGACTGGTGGGGGCGGGGTGAGGAAACCTAGGGGTTACAATGATTTGTGGCCCTCCAGAGCATCACTGTATACATCAGCAGTCAGTGCAGTTTATCTGTGATATTAAAATTTCATGGGGAGGGGGACAATTAGGGAAAAATGTGTTAAAAAGCTCCTTAGTAGGATTAATAATGAAAAAATGATTGAAAAATACTGCCATAGAAAAATGGTAGATTCGACTATATACATATTTTAAACTTCTTGATTATGAAAGATGCCATAAACAAAAGTGAAAGGCAAGTGACAGACTGGGGAAATAGTATTCAATTTATGTAATGGACCGAGGAGTGTAATCTGTAGTGTACAGGAGTTCCTACAAATAGTTAACACAGAAACAACTCAACAGAATGGGGAAAAAGACATGGAGTTAGTGTTTGGCTTATTTACTAGGTAGTAACTCCATTTGTCAGTTTGTTTGGTGGTTATAAGAAGTAGGTGATCATCTATATATCAAAAGGATTACATGGAACGTTTTTTTGAGGCCCTTCCATTTTAGATGTTTTATACTCTCAAGGGTGGATCACCACAGGGCTGAAACAAATGATGTGGCGTAGAATTTTCCTTTTTTATATTTTTGTTTCAAATTCTGTGAATGTGCTGCATTATTGACTTTATCAGTTTTCCTTTTAAAGGCTATGGGGATGCATTGTATTTATAGCCAAACCTAATTTTTGTTGTTGTTGTTCTAACAAGATGATTTTGGCTATTGTAGGTGTTTTTATTTGAAATACATTACAGAATTCTCATGGTGAAATATTTAGGAACATTATATTAAATATAAATATTATATTAATGGGCATGAAATATGAGGATACTTCAATAAGTTTGTGGAAAAATAGAATTGAAAGATAATATAAATCTTTCTGTGACTTTTTGAAGTACCCTCATATTAAATATCTTAAATAGTTACATATCAAATATGCTAAACCAAATATTAAAACTCTAAATATGTTTGTTTTGGTTATTTTAAAAGTTAATCACTATTATAAATGTGTCTCATAACTGCAGTTAAATACAGTTATTTGGTCTGGCTCTGTGTATATTTTAATTTGTTTTCATTTGGCTTTTTATTAGCAATCCAGTGGGGAGAAGATGGCCGCCCATTTCATTTTCTCTTCTATACTGGCAAACAATCNAATTCTCATGGTGAAATATTTAGGAACATTATATTAAATATAAATATTATATTAATGGGCATGAAATATGAGGATACTTCAATAAGTTTGTGGAAAAATAGAATTGAAAGATAATATAAATCTTTCTGTGACTTTTTGAAGTACCCTCATATTAAATATCTTAAATAGTTACATATCAAATATGCTAAACCAAATATTAAAACTCTAAATATGTTTGTTTTGGTTATTTTAAAAGTTAATCACTATTATAAATGTGTCTCATAACTGCAGTTAAATACAGTTATTTGGTCTGGCTCTGTGTATATTTTAATTTGTTTTCATTTGGCTTTTTATTAGCAATCCAGTGGGGAGAAGATGGCCGCCCATTTCATTTTCTCTTCTATACTGGCAAACAATCGTATTATTCATTAATGCATGTAAGTATATTATGTTTATGGTAAATATTATGAACTGTAAGCTGTAAAACTAATTTTAGACCTTTCTCAGCTTCAGAATTAGCCTAGTATTTTATAATGGACAAAAACAAGACATAGAGGTAAGACGGTATGTTGAAGAAAGACTATATTTTATTTATTTTTGTTAAAGGTAAACTTCATAGAATTTATATCAGAATGATTTGTCCTTGTAATGCTTTTACCTACAAATTGAAATCATGTTAGGAGATAAATGTCTAACTCAATAGTGCATGTATGTGCTTCCAAGTTAAGGAAAGAGGAGGCCAAGTGTACGGTGCTGTCAGGGGTTAGGAGGCGTTTGCCTTGAGAGAGAGTCAAATAGCTCTCTCTACTGTTTTTGTTATTTATAGACAATTTTTGCTTTTTCATAGGTTAATGCAGTATAGTATAAGTCTAGAATTTGGCCTAAAACACAACCTAAGAAATGGTTTCATTACACTTTGACTTCCAACTGTATTTGAGTGTACTGTGAACAGTTTTTGTTTTGTTTTCAGAGCTATGAGTGTTTGATGGTGTGCAAATTTGAGATACTTCCCCAGAATTACTATGAAAAAAAGAAAGGTGGGGCCGGCCCGGTGGCGCACTGGATAGGGCGCCGCTTGGGAAGCGCGGCGGCGCTCCCGCCCGAGGGTTCGGATCCCACGTACAGACCAGTTCCCACTCACTGGCTGAGTGAGGCATGGGAGCAACACAGAGGGTTGCGATCCCGTTGCCGGTCCCCGGTCCGGTACGGGGGCAACACTGAGGGTTGCGATCCGTTGCCGGACACGCACAAAGACAAAAGACAAAAAAAAAAAAAAAAAGAAAAAAAAAAAGAAAGGTGTATGCCAGTATCCAGTTTTAAATGCAGAGCCCATTTTATTTTTAGAACATGATGTCAAGTTCTATTTTACTCATTATATGATTTTTTAAAGTTATAGAAATATTTATCGGGCTTCCCCCATCGACAGTCAGATTTCAATGGCTTGAATCAGTGCACACATTCACCCTGCTTTTTAGAATTATCTGGTGTTTATTTGTGCTCCACAAACCCAAAGGACAAGATCCCCACTTGTCAGGTACATTTATTTCTTGGGGAAAAAAAAAAAAGAAACCCTTCTTTTCACTTATTTTTTTGACCTTGGGCAAATGAGCTTCTTGCCCTGGCAGAAACAAAATGAATGATGAAATGCGGAGTGTGCCTTTGCTGAGTAATGGGGCTGCCGCACAGGCCTGGCGGAGCCCTCTCCCACGGCCCGCGGCCCCCTGCTGTTCATTTAAATAGGTATGTCAAATCTGCCTCCAAACACCGGTTTGATCTGTGGTAATATTTGTGAAGGTTCCATATGGACTTGAGCCCCCTGCAGTGCTAAGAAATAATGTACAACGCTTCATGGTGCAGACGCAAATTTTCTCTGAAAGGGATGCAGTGTTGCGTTTTAGCTGTCGGAGGGGATGATGGAGCAGACGCGCTAGGCCTGTCAACTTGTTACACGGATGGGTTGCACTCAGCGAAGCTGTGGAAAATCTGTGCCTTTTAACTTTTCTACTTAATCACGGTTGTAGCGTTGCCTTTAGACTGTATGCTACATTAATTCTCTTCCTGCCTTCTGCCTTTCATCCCAAGTTTCACGGAGAAAAGTAAAGCATGCAGGTCTTGTAGAGGAGCCTTATCAAACAGCTGTCATCTGACAAGCCATTTGCATTCGTTTTGGCTGAAACTGAGCAACCCAAGGGCAAGATATTTTGTTGCATTCCATCATAATGAAGAAATTATACATTGTGTAAGAGGCCTAACTTTGTTTGTTTGCTTGCTTATGTGTTTTAAAAGGTACTGCTCCAGAAACGGATAGTTTCTTGGTGGGTAAAATCTTACCAAACTAAAATGTCAAAATATATCTGATCAATAATCCTTTCTTTTTGAGTAATACAGGTTTTGTTACATATGCAAGAGTTCTTTGGGCTTTTGTTTTAGTTCAGCACAGTAATTCCTAAATATATGCCAGTCACTTTAATATCACGTATGGCAAATGTCATTAATTACAACTGCAGTCACATGAGTCTCATTTCCTAGATAATGCAGATCAATATCATCTGAGATACTGTAACTTTGACAGTAACTAAATATTTCCTGTTCAACTTACAGAGCACTTTTGTGGTTAAGTCAGGCACTGCATATAAAGTCCAACTATAAAACATGAGACTATTTCACAAGTGAGACTGTTTGACTAGCTTGCTCTCTCTCCTTTGTTCTGCTTCTCTTGGTTGTGATGTTGGGGGGTGGCATCTCCTCTCTCAGTGATCACTGTGCCATCCCCACCGCAGCACAGCAAGTAGCCCCCTGAAGACTGGGGCAGGTTTTAAAGACTTGGAAATGAATCCTTGTTGCCACCATTTACTTTTGTTGATATGATTTTCTTCTAGGTGACAGGGTAAAAGACACTAAGCCAAACTGTTTTCCCATGTCGTTGGCCAACTGTAATTGTGTAAGGCATGGAGGTCACTGGCCAGGACTTTAAAAAAAAAAAAAAAANAAGAAATAATGTACAACGCTTCATGGTGCAGACGCAAATTTTCTCTGAAAGGGATGCAGTGTTGCGTTTTAGCTGTCGGAGGGGATGATGGAGCAGACGCGCTAGGCCTGTCAACTTGTTACACGGATGGGTTGCACTCAGCGAAGCTGTGGAAAATCTGTGCCTTTTAACTTTTCTACTTAATCACGGTTGTAGCGTTGCTGCGTTTTAGCTGTCGGAGGGGATGATGGAGCAGACGCGCTAGGCCTGTCAACTTGTTACACGGATGGGTTGCACGCAGCGAAGCTGTGGAAAATCTGTGCCTTTTAACTTTTCTACTTAATCACGGTTGTAGCGTTGCCTTTAGACTGTATGCTACATTAATTCTCTTCCTGCCTTCTGCCTTTCATCCCAAGTTTCACGGAGAAAAGTAAAGCATGCAGGTCTTGTAGAGGAGCCTTATCAAACAGCTGTCATCTGACAAGCCATTTGCATTCGTTTTGGCTGAAACTGAGCAACCCAAGGGCAAGATATTTTGTTGCATTCCATCATAATGAAGAAATTATACATTGTGTAAGAGGCCTAACTTTGTTTGTTTGCTTGCTTATGTGTTTTAAAAGGTACTGCTCCAGAAACGGATAGTTTCTTGGTGGGTAAAATCTTACCAAACTAAAATGTCAAAATATATCTGATCAATAATCCTTTCTTTTTGAGTAATACAGGTTTTGTTACATATGCAAGAGTTCTTTGGGCTTTTGTTTTAGTTCAGCACAGTAATTCCTAAATATATGCCAGTCACTTTAATATCACGTATGGCAAATGTCATTAATTACAACTGCAGTCACATGAGTCTCATTTCCTAGATAATGCAGATCAATATCATCTGAGATACTGTAACTTTGACAGTAACTAAATATTTCCTGTTCAACTTACAGAGCACTTTTGTGGTTAAGTCAGGCACTGCATATAAAGTCCAACTATAAAACATGAGACTATTTCACAAGTGAGACTGTTTGACTAGCTTGCTCTCTCTCCTTTGTTCTGCTTCTCTTGGTTGTGATGTTGGGGGGTGGCATCTCCTCTCTCAGTGATCACTGTGCCATCCCCACCGCAGCACAGCAAGTAGCCCCCTGAAGACTGGGGCAGGTTTTAAAGACTTGGAAATGAATCCTTGTTGCCACCATTTACTTTTGTTGATATGATTTTCTTCTAGGTGACAGGGTAAAAGACACTAAGCCAAACTGTTTTCCCATGTCGTTGGCCAACTGTAATTGTGTAAGGCATGGAGGTCACTGGCCAGGACTTTAAAAAAAAAAAAAAAACACATCTCGAGCATGTGTGCAGTTGTGTGAAGAGACCTTTCTGATGTCAGTTAACCCTTCTTATCTTGTGTCATGATGCCAAATCTTCTCTTTAGTACTTGGTGACTGTTTACACGTCAAGCTTGTATATTACTTTATTACAACTAATAAAAAGTAGTCCTGATGCAGCTTACAGTGAAGGGCAATACATAATGCTTTTGTGAATACAGTTTCCAACTGACCTATAGTTAGTCCATCCAGTTTTGTGGAGAAGTGAGGTTATTGAAGAAAGATGACAGGTGTACTGTATTGTTCTGGCCCAGAAATGAAGCATGATAAAAACGTATAAAGTGAAGGAAAATTTCCTGATCCATGAGGTTCTCACACTTTGTAAATGTGTCACACTCTAAAGGCTTATTTGCAGGTCACTTGAGATTCCCATTTTCTTATGGATGTAATGATCTATATCTCTTCAGGTTCCTGGGAAAGTCAATTAAAAACCCATTTATTTTACAGTATCGCTAATAAGATGTATAGATATAAATAATAAAGAGTAGTTTGAGAAGAAATGGGACCTCCTGAGCTTCTCAAAGCATTTTTAAGTGCCATAAAGGGAACTCCTCCTGGATAGCACTGGCTTGGCTGGCTGTTGTTCACTGGTTTCCTTGATAGCCATGTAATCAGTAGAACTTGTATACTTTTCAGACATATTTTAGGGCTTTGGTTAGATTTCAGGAGCAGAAGGAAGAAAGAGAGAAAGAAAAAAAGAAATTTCCTGAAACAATTGCAAAAAAGGTGTAAAAGAAAGAGAAAAATTTTAAAGAGGGTATAGACGTCTGTGCTAAAAAGAAAATGATATACAGCAGAATAGCTCAGTTGTGAATAGCCTAGGCCTACACTAGGGAGAAGGGGTGTGGAGAAAGTGCTAGGCCAGAAGGGTGGGCTGCTCTTTGAGTCCATGGCGGTAACCCTGCCAGGGCTACCCCCTGATCACAGCAACTTGAGCCTGCTCAAGACGACCAAGCTGGTGGTGAAGGGAACAGTTCACAACCTTGGTGATCACAGTTCAGTTTGTGCAAGTCCTTTAATTTTAAGAAAAATGTTAATTCAGGTTTACTGTTTTTACTAGTAGATACATTTCTGAAAAAATTAAAATCCGCTCACTAAA